GTGATTACCAGAACCGTACCGAACCGCACTATCCTTGCAGGAGACTCAGACGAGAGTCTGACGCTTTCCCACGCTCAGAGCCACTGCTCCTGACCTGCCTCTAATTAAAGAGGCAGCCAAGCGTTGCCACATGTCACACCCAGTTCGCTGATGTTGCAGTTGCACTTTCCAGCTCTTCTCCTTATTTCTGTGTATTTTTTCGTGGATGACTTACGCATTACAAATGAAGCAAATGGGAATTTACATATCAATCCCCAAAACCTGCGCCTCATGCTGATAATTATCTTTGCACACCAAGTGCCAGGCTCTCGTTTTTTATTATTATTTTTTTTTTTTGCTATTTCCCTCTCTTTCTCTGTCTCTTTCTGTTTGTAATTGAATTGGAGTGCAGCCGCGAAAAGGTCACAGACACTGCACATGGGCCGGCAAGCGGAGTCAGCAATAAGCCAAACACCAAGCTACAAAATATGGGATATACAAAAAGAAGTGCCGAATATCTTAATGTCGAGACACGTGAACCATGAGAAAATTGCATATTAAGTGAATGATAAATTTGTGGCAAATCTTGTAGATTGCAAATTATTTTATAGAGCTCTCCTCCCTCTATTTTATTTGAATCAATACCAGATGCAATTGGAAACTTCCATTAAATATATTTACATATCATATCGTACATTTCCTTAGAAATGTTTGTTGTTGAATACTTTTCCTATGTGTGGAGACTAACTTGAACTTGAATGATTATTTGTTCATCTTGAAATAACACTCCTTCTGTCTAGTGTAATTAAAGCCAGTGCCTTGGCGCGTGAGATCAGCCATGAATAAGGCAGGAGCCGTGGCCATAGCCATAGTTGTAGATGTATCTCTGGCTGGAGCTAGAGCTGGTGCTGGTGCTGTAGCTGGAGCCACCTGTGCGCACAAAAATAATGCAAATTATCAGCTGAAATTGCACGAATGGTCAGGTGCATCATCATAATGAAGAAACTTAGGACGAGGCAGAAGGCAGAAGCAGAAGCAGCTGGGGAAGATGGGCCAGAAGTCGCCGCTTCTTTCATAATTGAGTTGCAAATGTTTCGGGGAGTGTTGCCTGCAGAAGGGGTTAAAGAGTGGCACTTTTTGGCTTTTTGGTTCCCATGGCCGACAGAAAAGCGGGCTTAAACACTCCGTTTCATAGATAATCATCATAATTATCTGGCATACAATAAATATAATATCCTAGGCAAATTACAACAATTAGGCAGCTCCCAGCTCACAGTTGGAAAACACCCAAAAAAAAACCCAGGGGGAAAGCAAATGATCGTTGGGCTGCCTGTATTTATATTCGAGTATAGTATATGTATCTCTCTCTCTGAATACAATGTATTGTATGATCTGCTCTGCAGTGGGCCACAATGATAGAGACAATGGCTGTGCGGCCGCATAATAGACATAATTTTCACACGCGTTTCATTTCGGGGAGAGCAGCCCAAATTAGGCAGAAAAACACTCTGCGGCGACGCGACGGGACCTGCCTGGCCAAAAAGAGTAAAACGCGAGCAAATGTTTAAGCCACAGCGGGGTAGGCAGGGAAGGGCCCACGAGGGCTGGGGCAGAAACATTTCAAAAAGGGGAAATATCATTCGGTAATTTCGGGTCGATTAGAAAGTTGATGTGAGAAAGGTTATGCCACAGTTACCTCAGGTTAGATTGCATAAGACAGCTGAATAATATGGTGTATAAAATGGTTAAATCGGTGTATGAATGTTCTTAGATATAAGAAAATCCTATCGGATAAAGCCATACCCAGAGAAAAAAGCCCTAAAATTGTAATAATCGTTTTTATACTTGGATTTCCAAATGTATACCAAGAAATTTGCTTCGAAAGTGGAAATAAAGAAGTTTGGCTTCTCTTTATTGGTATAAGATTATGTATTCTATATTTTACTTCAACAAAATCCCACTATTATCTCTTATACCCAAAGTTCTTGGACAATTCCCTGTTTCTTATAACCCTCTACTCAACTATAGGAACTTCTCTGTCCACCCGCGCAGCTTCTTAAAATCCTCCTAAAATATACAGAGCTCCATTCTTCGTTTTTGTTGTTGCCGACATGTTGCATGGCTCTACGGACATTGGATGGCAACAGCCCACGACTAAGCCCAATGCCTCCAAAAGCGGAAACTCATTGGCAACGCTTCGTTGCGTACATTTCTCGACGCGACTTTTTGGCCAACAGGTTGGCAAAACAACAACAAAAAAGATACACACACTCGTACACTCGTACACCCGTACAAATAATACGAGTGGAGTACCTAAACCGAAAAGAAAGAAAACAAAAATCTGACGCCAAACCAAACCAAACCAAAATGGCAAAATGGCCGACAACAAAACAACAACTGAAAATGGGGAAAAAATTGTTTTAATATTTCAGTTACGCTCCGGCAAGCGACAACATCGCGATAGAGCCTCCCCGACTTTGACTTCTTGAATCGTATATACAGTATATATAGGAGTACGAGTACTCAAACGTATGTGTGTTTTGGGGGCGGGGGATGATGGTATGATGATACTGGCACAATGGAAAAGGGTAAATCACAGAGGAGATCCAAACAGATGGAGATCTCGTGCCAAGCCACAACAGACCGCAAGTACAGAGAGGATTGGGCTGCCGGTCGGTCCCCCGGAGCCATCGAGCGAACACCTGAGCATTTCTTTATGGATCTTGAGCAGAAAACCTATCGCGGCGTAACGTCATTAAAATTAGTGCTATGCTGAGCTGAATTTAACTTAAAGAATGAACATATCGGGCAGAGAGAGAGGGAGCCCATAGTCTGGTAAGATACGGAAACATACAAGTATAGGGAGGATAGGGGTAACACACGTTACAGATGGGGTTTTAGTCACGAACGCATATCGGTTATAGTTAGTCGCTTCGGTTGTTCGGTTCCTTGCTGGTTACGCTTCGTTGTCAGAGCCTAAGATGGCGTTGAATATTTCGGAAATGTGGAGGATGGTACTATAATGGTGGGGGGTAGGAGGTAAGACCCATCCATAGGTAAAGCTCAGCAAGGGCTAGAGCTAGAGCAGCCATCCCATGTGGGAATGGGCAAACGTTGACTCTCAGGTAATTAGAGTCAGCAACAAAGGCCATAATTACCTTGTAACTAGGAATTATGAAAATATAATAAAAACTGAAAGACAGATGGACAGAGAGACACAGAGGGAGAGGAATGTAGTCTAGGGCCACGGCCACCCAACCACAGAGATCTGGTCTGTGCCGCCGCCACCTGACAGTAGTCAATCTTTAATGACTCTTATTTTTATTTTACATCTGACTTCTCCTCTTACCTTTTGGCATTAGAAGATTTCTCATGATTGTCTCCATTCAGCAGCACTCGTCTGCCGAGATCTCTTTGGGTCAGGCCTAATCTCTGCTCTGATCCAAGTCGATTTCTTGTCTGCCCATTCAGATCTCTCAGTGCAGTGCAGGGCAATAAAAACGCAGACACTCGTACTCGTGTACTCGTACTTCTCTCTGTTCTTTTTGGTTTCTTTTATTAGTTTTATGTGCTTGGGAAGAATGCCAATTGCCTTTGGACATGGGACAATATTATCGGCTTCTCGGGCTGGGCTGGGCTGGGGCAGTGGAAAACCTCACTCAATGCCCATAGGCATTCCTCCTCTTCAATGTTTTTGCCCGATTTTATGAGCACTTTCCCCCCAGATCCTCCGTCATGGCCAGAGATAATAATGCAGCTGTACGTAATGAGTTCATCAATAGTCGAAAGAACAAGAATCTATTAAAAATACGAAGACAGGAAAATAATGTTTGATTAATCAATATATGTGGAAATAGTCATATATGCTAGATGGGGAATATATTCTACTTCTATGATATACTTCTATGATATTTACGAAATATATAAGTGTTGCATTGGTTTTTTGGTTAAGGAAAATAAAACACGAAACGGTGGGGAGACTCTTAGTGATTCAAATTATTTTTTACCTTGTAGATACTTATATTACTAAATCTCTATGGGTACAGGGGTATAATAATATAATATATATAGCACCCATTGCTTCTATCGCTGCGAGAATTGAACAAAAATGTCTTTGCTACCGAAGTTCGATCCCCAGAATCCAATAACAAAATACAGGACGTGTGTAATTGCTGCTCGACTGGAGACTCCCCCAAATTTTGTTGTTCCTAAATTGTATCTACTAGATTGAAGAAACTGGATGATCTATTCGATCAGTATTCTATCCAGAAAAAGAAACGTGGATAAACGGTGGGCAGTAATATATTTTATAAGATGCATAAATTATTCCTATGATTACCGATATTATAACACAGGGTTTCAGTAAGTATATAGATATAGATACCGTACTAGTTATGAGTTTGGAGGACTATTACTCGAACACTTGAAAGACGAGTACTGGGGAAAGTAATTGATAATATTTCCTTCTTCAATGTGTTCCAGCCTGAGGACAGACATTTCTTGTCGTGCAAGGAGTCTTTAATATTTTAGCTGTTATTCAAACTAATAAAATTGATTGATAAGGTGGCTCCAGAGAGTCGATCCCCCATTAAAGTTAATTCGTTTGCCGATTTGCAAACCGATAACAGAGCACTCAAGCCCTTGATAATGCAGAGATCCGACACAATATGATGGGAATGCAGCTCCAAAGATTATACCCACTCAGTTCAAACACCTCCGAAAATCCCCTTTTACAGATTAAGGATTACACTGAGAGAAAAAAGTTAAATTTGTAGGAAATGTATTTAATTTAAATAAGAAGAAAGCTAAAACACTTCAATTTTAATATTTCCATACTCGGTTCCAAATGAATGGCATAAATATTTAAATCAAAGTGAAAATATTACAAAATCAGCGAGTTTTCCTCTACGTGTATGTATTATCAACGCCCTTATCAGCCACAAGTCCCTTGCAATCGACGAGGGAACGTGAGACACACTCAGTATAGTCGGACCATTGCTGCAAAGCGGATGGCAAAAAAAATGTTGAATTTTCTTTGGTTTGTCGTGATTCTATCGGTGCTCCGGGTCTGCACTGCTGCGACCCCGGAATCTTACCTGCTTCAGACCTACAGGTGTGGTACAAAAGTGGTTTTAAAATATAAAGAAAATACATAAAACTATTGCTGCATATTGTATTTTTACATATTGTGATGTGTATGTGTTCGGAACAAATTGTATCAATGGTAGATATTTCTGTGTTTGGAATTTATATAGTACTTCAAAGATGTATCGAATGTGTTCAATTGATATTGAAGTTCTTTGGAATTATTTTACATATTTTTGGAAAGAACTTATTATCAAATAATAAAAGATAACATAGAAAAACAAATATGAGTTATTTTTACCCAGTTTCAAGTAGATACATATATATACATATGTATTCCGTCCTCAAACGGTAAGAAATATTTGCGATTTAATGGGGTTTAATATGGCTCATCTAATCAATCAAATATACGAGTACTCGCACTGAAGAGCAAATAATTGAAAAACTCCATTCTCTAACGTTCTAATCTGAAATACGATAATGTGAATTCTCAACAGTTGGAATATCTTTAGTGTATTTTCAAGTATGCAGATCCTTGAGCCGTCGCCTTCAGTTAAAGACTTTCTATATACAAGCTTAAATATATGTACAAGTAAACGATTATACTTTTAAACCTTTATTATAAATACTTAAACATGTTAAGGTTCGGATTACTAGCTAAACTAAGAATCTTATTTAGTATACGATTCAAATTCTCTCTCTTTTTGCAGTCTCCCCTCGGACCTAAACTTTATGCCCACCCTGGGCAATGGTCATCTGGGCTATACGGTCTTCGGGGATGCCATCTTTATGAACGGAGTATACAATGGGCCCGCAGGCAACAGCAAGCGCGCTCGCATACCCAATTGGCTGAATATCACGACGGAAGTTTGCGATCGTTTCGGTTGCGCCACAGACGCGGATGTGGCCGTGAATGGTACTAGCTATGAGATGGATCTGCGTGATGGCTACTTCCGTTCTATAACAACTTACAACTCCCTGGGACTATCCATAGAGCAAAGAACGTATCCGCATAAGTTCTTCAATAGGGCCTTGGTCTATGAGGTGGTGGCCACCAGAAGCACCGCATATGGCACCAGAGCGAACTGTAAGTAAAAGCAAGGAAAGGAGGTAACACACTGCCTGATGAGGGGATTCTCTTTGTAGCACCTCAGTTCCTGAGACTTAGCCAACACCCTGGTAATGCCAGCGATGCCTTTGAGTTTGTGGTTGTTTCCAATGGAAGCAGTGCTAGCGGAGATTATCGTACAATTCGAGGTCGCACGGATATCATCGAATTCGAGCGGTTCCAACAACAACCGCAAGAGATCTACATAATTTTTAGCCAATCTCTGGAGGAGCCTCTGCAATTGGAGTGGCCCACTTGGCAGGCGGAAGTGCGTCATCGCATCATCATCTGCATAGATCGGGAACAGAGTGTTGCCCTCAAGGAGCTGCAGGATGTTCTACAATTGAATGCCAACAGCATGCTGCAAAGACACACAGACGCCTGGCACAACTTCTGGGACAGAGACTTCTCCATCGAACTGGTGGGCAATGTTCTGGAACTCTCGCAGATCATCAATGCTGGTATCTTCTACTTGGCCAGTTCGCTACCTTCCCTAAGCACCAACCAGGTCAACGAGCCCTTCTACGGCCTCAGCCCCACTGGCCTGGGACGTGGCAACCTCGAGGCGGACTATCAGGGTCACAACTTCTGGGACACGGAGATCTGGATGCTGCCGGTGGTCACTCATTTTGGCTTTGAGTATGGCAAGCAGGTGCTGGACTATCGCAGCAGGAAACTCGAGGCAGCCAAGTACAATGCACGTTCAAAAGGCTACAAGGGAGCCAGGTGAGAACACAAAGATTTTGGTTCTCCGTTAACAGATGTAGAACAGATCGGAATCATCACACTTCCTTTAGGTTTCCCTGGGAGAGCGCATATACGGGCACTGAGGTGACGAATCCCTGCTGCCCCGAGGTAGCCCAGCAGGAGATTCACATCTCGCCCGACATCTCATTTGCCCTACAAAAGTTTTTTGCCCACTCGGGGGACTACGCTTGGGTCTGCGATAAGGCCTGGCCGATTGCCGCCGAAGTGGCCGAGTTTCTGGTGAGCCGAGCTGCCTGTGAGGAATTCCGTCCAGTGTGCCACCTGCTGAATGTGATGGGACCCGACGAGGATCATCCGGATGTCGATGACAATGTCTATACGAATGCGGTGTCCAAAATTGCCCTGGAGTTTGCCGAATGGGCGGGCGAGATGTGCGGAAATGACAGTACTGAACTATTTGAGAAGTGGCGCCGTGTCAGCGATCGCTTGTTGATTCTACACGACACTGCGCTAGACTATCATCCCCAGCATGCGGGCTATGTCGTCAACACCACCATCAAGCAGGCGGACACCATTCTGCTGGGATATCCCCTGCGATACGATACAAGGTAGAGTTGATCCTTAGTTCTAGAAGAGGTCTAGTGATAATCTTGTGATACCCGATACAGCACCACTCACCTGAACGACTTGAGGATTTATTCCAATGTGACCAGAGAATCGGGACCGGCCATGACCTGGTCCATGTTCGCCACCAACTATCTGACCAGCAGTCAGGAATGGCTTGGCCACGAGTATTTCGAACGGGGCTACAAGGACTACGTCCGTCCCGAGTTCAAGGTGTGGAGCGAGACACCGTTGGGCTTTGAGGGTTCCGCGAACTTCCTAACTGGCATCGGTGGCTTCCTTCAAGCCATGATTTACGGCTATGGTGGCGTCAACTTTGTCCGAGATAACAACAAGACCACGATGATTCTTCGTGTGGGCATGTCGCCGCTGAATGTGGATGAGGTGCATGTAAACTATTTGCGCTATGCACGTAACACATGTCGCTGGGTCTTCGGGCCTAGATTCTCCAATATGGACTGCGGCGTCAGATCGGGGGCTCAAGGCAACTTCGAGATGGTTCAGGGCAAGAAGAGAACTTTGTTGGGAAGATCGTTCAATGGTGAGTCTATCATACAATTTAAAAGTGTAACTCCCTTAAAATTATGGAATCCTTTGCAGTGACTCTCGTGAAAGGTGATGAGCCTGTGTATATCAGTTATTTGGAATAAATGAATATATTTTATTATGTGAATAAATATGAAGAGAACTACATATTTGGGTGCTGTGGTTGCATATTCGTGGGAATTCTAAATTAAAATATTTAGTATGACGTTTTTGGGAAGGATCTATTGCATTTGGTTATGGCTATCTTGGATTTGGTGGTTAAAACATCCCATGTGTGTCTGTGTGTTGGCCCCCTACTTAAACTTGGCTATCGATGAGCCACTTACGCCACCCGCATTCTTGCTGTTGCCACTGAGAACCACATAGGCGGTCTTGGTTTCTTTCTGCTTATGCTGCAACATGGTTAGAGTGCCCAGTGGGGTGTCCGTCGAACTCATTGTCTTCATTAGCTATAGGAAAAATGATTTGAGACATATATTATGAAGAGAGATATATATTTAATGGTTGACTTACCCCATCTTGCTCCATTTTCTTCAAACGTTTCTCGATCTTGTTCTTGCCGGGCCCCTTGCCATGGAACTTGTGTGACAGATAGCGGAACGCCTCTTTGAGGTTCAATATACGGCCATTGTCATCAATGTAGTCCAACTTGACGTTGGGTTTAAAGGTCTCTTTATCCTTAAAGTCCATAATGGGTCCGCAGTGGAACCGATCACGACGGCCAACCTTTTCGTCTTCGCCAGCTGCTTTGTCCTCAATAGAATAGTTCTTGGCCTGCAGATGTGCCATTTTGGTGTTGCTGGGCCTGTTCTTTTCCTCCCTTTCAAGGTAACCCTTGGACAGGGCCAAGCGCAGGGCATTCGCCACACCAGCGCCCACATCAGGCTCCTCATCCAGAATGGCACGGTCCTCCAGATCATCGCCAAGATTGTCCAAATCAGCTGGCTGCATAACCTCATCGGGATTCACCGAATTCCATGTACCATGGCTCAGTGCTGGCTCATCATTGTGCGTATCCATATTATCGTCCAGCTGCTCGATCTTGTCAAAGTCCATCATATCATTGGAATCCTCGTTACGATTGCCAGCCATGCCATACGTGGGAATGTCTCCCAAGGTGCGGCAGAACTCAGCAGTGGCATTCAGCACGATGTGGCCATCCACACTGCTGAGCACCACACCCGAACTGGCCTCATCGATGATCTCGGGCTTGATATCCCGCTGAATGGACTCAAACTCAATGGGCAAGGATTTCTTGATGATGTTCTCCTTTTGCTTCAGCTTGCGGGCCTTGGATAGAACACGCTCGAGATCATCATCCTCATCGGCCTCATATTTAACCTCTGGCTTGGTCTCCTCCATATCAACATCTTCTGGATCGCGATGACGTCCCTGACGGCTACCGAAATTCGACATGCCTGATGTTCCGGCCTCAGCCAAAGGCTCGAGGTCTTCGGCTTTCAGTTTCTGACGAAGCTTCTTTACCTTTTTCTTTGGCTTCTTGAATCTAAAGGGAATTAGATTATTTTGGAATGAAGAAGGTATATAATTATTAAAAAAAAGTTCAAAACTTACTTGGCCAACTCCTCCACACTGAATGTATCCGATGCCAACTTCAAATTGGTATCCTCCAATGTTTCCAGACGTTTTCCAGCCAGCTTTGTTTTGATTTCCAGAAGTCTGCGTCTGTTCTCACGATCCTCCTCGGAATTTTCGCCAATCACAAAGTTCTTGCGCTTCTTGGGCTGTCCTTCGATGTCCTCGTCATATTTCTCCAGCACGGAACGCTCAATGGGGTTGCCCAACTCGTCGTATTGCTCTTCATAGACATTGTAGCCATAGCTGAGTGGATTCTGTTTTTTGTTGACAACATTCTTCTTGTAGCGCTCATCGTCGAGCATGTTAACATTGACCAGCGTGTCGCCCTCTTCCTCATTGAGAACGTCTTGATCTTTGAGCGTTAGGATAACCGTGCGACCTTCCCCAAAGTCATCCATATCGTGCTCCACACGCAACCCCTTCAAATTGTTATCGCCATAGGCACGCTGACGGGCCTTTTGCTTCTCCTGCTCGACCATCTCTGGGATGCCAAAGGTCTCATCAAGCTCCTCCAACTCTTTGGCCTTGGGGAAAATATGATTTTTATTCGAATTAAAAAAATTAATTGTAGATCTAATGGTGCTTACCTTCTTTTTTGCCTCTTCGCGTTCATTGACTACTCGCTTGTTCTTGTCTACCCACTTGGTGACATTATCCGTCTCCTCATCGGATTCCCCCAACGTCCTGATGCGTGCCAATCTCTCTTCCAAGAAACGTTTCTCCTTGCGCTGCTTAAGCTTCTCACGCAGCTTCTCCGCCTCTTTTTTCTCCTTTAGGTTGTCGGCCGGCTTGTGAAGGAACTCTCCCCACTCGTCTTTGTACGAGGAGAGATCGCTGTCCCCACCCGACTTTTTATTCTCGCTTGTCGAGGCAGGAGCCACCTTGCTGGGCCCACTCTCCACCTCGAGGGGCTTTAGACCTAGCTTGGCACGAAGTTTGTTGGTTTCCTGAACTGAGAGAACATCGCCAGCTCCATTTTCGGGTATGGGCGAATGGGAGCGTCCGAATGCCTCGCGTTCTCGGTTTGCTGGTCCAGAGGGCTTGCGTCCTGACTTGGACGGCGACTGAGATCGGGACCGTTCTCGGTTCCCTCTATCCCTCTCCCTGCCAGCACGCTTGCGAGCCTCACGCTCGCGTTCGATTTCTCGCTCTCGGCGCCCCTCATAGTCCGCGTGTCTGGATATTTGTGGCGGAGGTGGAGCCGACAGCTCACCATGCCGTTCGCGCTCACGGTCCCGATCACGCTCCCTTTCACGGTCCTTGGGGCGCTCCTTTTCGCGATTTCTGTCGCGTTCCCTTTCACGCTCCCGGTCACGGTCTCTTTCACGCTCCCTTTCCCGTTGCTGGTCTCTCTCGCGTCCAGCATCTCTATCTCGAGCAGATGCTCTTTCTCTGACAGGCGGCTCTGGCTCGCGCACCCTTTCCCTGGCGGATGTCTCCCTTACCTTGCTCTGCTCCACTGGCACCTCCACACAATCCGAACCTGCAAAGAAGAGGTACAGGTTAGAACGGGCTATCACGATGCTGACGAATCGCTCTTCTTATATCAAATTTTTTGGCTTTCTTCTCTCCCACTCACAATCTGCGGCAGCAGCATCGGAGAACCTGCAAAAACAAGAAACGGAGAGAAGAACACCAAAATTTAGTACGTCCAGAACTAGGATAGTGCAGCACCAAGGCAATTGCCGGGCCCCAGGCAGTCCAACACAATCAAAGAATCGCTTTTCCAGTTGGGTCTGTCGGCCACGGCAATCGCCCTTGAGCTTGGTCTGCACCAGCATCCCATCCGGCCACACTTACTATCCGAATCGGACTCCTCCAAGGAGATAACCTCGCTGGTACGCTCCCGCTCTTTGTGCTTGTGGTGCTTGTGACGGTGCTCCTTCTGCTTCTTGTGTTTGTGATGTGTCACATCCTCGTCTTCAGTGCCCCGTTCCTGGCGTTCCTCAGATCGCGAGCGATGCCTGGCCTTTTTATCCTTCTTGTGCTTTTTGCCAGACGACGACGAGCCCATTTTTTCTTTTCTGATTTTTTTTCACGAATTTCACAAAAAAAGCTATATATATCAGAGTAGAGTGACCACAAATTGCTTGTTGAAAAAAACCCGGCACGCGATATTGAAATACTGAAAAATACTTTTAAAAAAGAGTACGATTGCTTCTTCTTCACTCGTTCGCCATTCACAACGCATTCATAACAAAAGCAGCACGAGGACAACAATGGAGATCAGTAAAGTATGTTTAAAATCTATTATGAAGTAATGCGTACTCATAATTGCATTACCTCTCTCCGCAGAAATCGAAGAAATCAAAGAACGCGAAGAAAGACTCGACACTCACACTGAAGCTCACGGCACTCCAAAAAAAGAAAAAAGAGGTTGCACGCGTTCTCACCCTGAAACACGAAATCCTGTTCAAATCCTCTGTTTCCTATTTGGAGTACCTGGAGCTGCGCGCCGAAATAGAGCGTCTCAATGGCCTCAAGGATAACTTCACGCGACGCGTCGACAAATTAAAACAACAAGCTAAATAGTCTATAAATTCTTCGTAGTCGTGAGGGCTTTAATGCCTGTTGTAATGGTTAAAGAAACTTAATCTAGGAGGAGAGTTGTACACAATATAAGGAACATTTGATAATTGTCTTTACTTTTTAATAAAAGTACTAGATATTATAGACGCTCTTTTTTAGGAACTCCTACTCCTTCACCAAAAATGCTTTCCACATGCGGTTGAACTCCTCCTGGAATTGACAAGCCAAAATCTCGTCTGAGGTAATCGTGCAGTTCTCGAAATTTCCAACGAATCCATTATATGTCCAGTTGACAGAGCCGCTTATCAGGACGCTTTCGTAGGGCCGTGGCCATTTGCACTTCTTGAGTCCCATAATCTCTTGCACCCGGGCCACGCCGTCGATCACGCAGAACTTGTGGTGCATCATGGATTTGGTTGTGAAAGGTCCGCGCAGGGGCACACCGAGGTTAGCCAGTTTCAGTACCTTCGATTTACTGGAATAGGCCATTTCGTGATCGCTGATCATGCGAATGGACACTCCTCGATCCAGCGCGCGGTTTATGGCCAAGAATAAATCCGTACAAGTGAACGTGTATATGCATATATCAATAGAGTATTGAGCCTCATCGATCAGCATAGTAATCTTCTCCAACTGTCTCAAGCTACAGTGCTTGTTTTTGCATTCAAAAGTTTTGGGGGCTGATTGCGTACCCTGGCTCTGATGCTCCTTGTAACAAATTTCTCCCAGTTCGTTGAAAAAGAGAACCTCGTGGACCCGACGGCGTCGCGTCTTGCTGCGTAAATATTTTATTGCTGTCACTATTAGCTCCGCGGCTAAGCCGGTGCTTGCAAAAACTGTGACGGTGGCCACAATCGGATGACTCTCAAAAATCTCAACAATGTTCATTATTCAATACTTCTGATCGTTGAGCGAAATAGGTCAAACAAAAAAAGGTTTTAGCAAAATAGATCACACCAGAAAACTATTTAGCGAAAAGGGTCACACAAAAAAACGAAAGAGGATATCGTTCATATTGTTATATTTTTATAAGATAAGATGCGTGTATAGGCATTTTTACACCCTATTTCAATATTTTGATATGAAGATGAATCGTAATTTATAAAGACCTTTTCTCAAATTGATATTCTTCAGACATATTCAAGTACATTATAAGTATTTTGTGTATATTTATCTCGATCCTGATACCTACGGAGCCTGGGATAACAAACATTTTCTCAATTCTATAATATCCTTTTCCCTAGGGTATGAAAATTAATGTTGCCGGGAATCATTGTTGTCAACCGGTTATTCACCAATAAATACTTGTTTATTATCTTCCGTCGAATATTCCCAGCTATATAGAATATTTAGCCATGCCCACATAATTTTATACGATTGATGAATAAATTTTCTACTTGATTGGCATAATTTAAATATTTGCTTTTATTTGATTTCTATATAATGTTGGAAATGAAATTTAATAGATTGATGAAATTGGCTAATATACTGTAAATATACAGTCGGTTCAATTTTGACCTAAATTTTCAGGTTACAAATAAGGTTTTTACATTTCCACTACACCCAAACTACACATTTGCTACAAATGAACTACATATTTACGTAATTACCAAAAGGGAACCTGTAAGAGAATATGTGTAAACAAATGGTTTTTAATGGTGGGTTAAGGGTGTTAAGGCGAACTGTTTGTGGTTCATGAACCAAAAACAAATTCAAATAATTCCATTTTCCCTCTTTTTTATTTATGATCAAATCGAAAAATGAAGTCTTCAACAATTTTGCCCACTGACACCAAGGAGTTGCTGGAAGCACGAGAAAGTGAACTGAAGAAGGTCCTGCAGTTGAAACTTTTGCTGGATGTATTGCGCCGCTTGGAGCCTGCAAATCAGAGCCCCGAAATTAAGCGAGCTCTCAAATTGGTGTCCATTGGGGAATTTGTCCGACTAGACGATAGCGATCACGTACTTGGTAAGATCTGCTACAGTGATATCTTATTCTCTTGGTCATATTTATGTTTTTTTCCAGACCTACAGGACTACAAAATAATACCGGCCCTCTCCTACACGGACCGCAAGGCCGTGCGCACCAATCTGACGGCCCAGCTGCAGGCCAAGCTCCTGCCCATTACCGAGCTGGGGGATCAGATACGTGAGGAATTCCCTGAAGTATTCAGCAACGACTTGGAACTAGACCCAGGACAAAAGGAGATCATCAGGCTGGAGGTAGAGCATCGCACCAGCATGGAGAAAAGGGGTCAGCTGCTCAGCCGCAAATGCGCGCTGCTCAATGATGCAGCCGACCTGAAGATGGGCACCCACCTGGTGAACGAGCTCCAACTAAAGCAGTCGTCGGCGAATGTGACGCAGACCAAGGCGGAACTGCTGTGCAGCTGGTTCATCCACGAAATTGCGTCGCGCACGGAGCACAGTGTAAAGGCTATCAAGGAGGTAGAAGCACATCTGGATGAGCTTCTTAGTGCCAAGAACACCCTCACCAGCACCGAAAGACGGTGAAACTACATTAAGAGCATTATAAAAAAATTAGTTTTAAATACATTGCGAATTGTCCAAGACAGGGCTGTTCCCCATCGGTGGCAGGTGGCAACGCTGTTGCACAGCCCAATAGTTGGCAACGCGGCAACCAAACAATTTATAATCAGAAAAAAAACCTTAAAAACGCTTTGGACTCCTTGGCGGTGCTGGTGGATTCAATTGACCATGACCAGTCCTACTGCATCGGATCCCCAAGCGGAAGAACAGCCGGCAGATGAGGAAGCTTTGGCCACTGAGACACTGCCAGACGCTGCGCCCACTCCCTCAACGAATGGCGACGGCGGGAACGGATTGGGCGCAGAGGAGGAAAACGATGCCACCTCTCTTGACCGGGACGACTCCGCCAGCCTGTTTAGCAATACGACAACGACCACCAGGAGCAAGTCTCCGAATACGCGCAAGCTGAACCGTCTGTGCCGTCGCGTCAAGGCACCAAAAATGGTTCCACCGCTGTACAAGTACAGGTGAGCGGCTCTCGCCAGGTGTGACGCTTCGTGCGTGGTGTGACTACCTGCCTTTTGCAGCTCCCACGTGAGGGAGGACCACAATCACCAGATCTTTGGTGTCCAGTTCAATCCATTCCTAGAAAGGGGCCAGCCGCAGGTCTTTGCCACCGTGGGCAAGGATCGGGTGTCGATCTACGAGTGCGTCAAGAGGAACGAGGAGGAAAACACCAACGGTGGCCTGCGCCTCTTGCAGGTCTATGCTGATCCCGATGTGGGTAAATTTACATAAATAAATCTCTTGAACGTAAAGATTCGAACGCATTACCCTTCCCCTTTCAGACCGATGAAAGCTTCTATACGTGCGCCTGGTCGTATGACACCATCTCTGGCGACCCAGTGCTAGCCGCTGCTGGCTATCGCGGAGTCATACGCATCTTCAATCCCATAAAGCATCAATGCAGCAAGAACTACATAGGGCATGGCCATGCCATCAATGAGCTGAAGTTCCATCCGATTCGGCCGCAGCTTCTGCTGTCCGGCAGCAAGGATCACTCGCTTCGTCTGTGGAACATTCAGTCGGACGTTTGTGTGGCAGTGTTTGGCGGCGTTGAGGGCCACCGCGACGAGGTGCTCTCGATTGATTTTGATCTGCGCGGGGATCGGATCATGTCCAGCGGCATGGACCACTCGCTGAAGCTGTGGCGCCTGGACAAGCCCGACATCAAGGAAGCTATCGAGCTGAGCTCAGATTTCATTCCCGGCAAGACGACAGCTCCATTCCCGACCATCAAGGAGCACTTTCCTGACTTTTCCACGCGCGACATCCATCGAAATTATGTGGACTGCGTCCAGTGGTTCGGCGACTTTGTCTTCTCCAAGTCCTGTGAGAACTCTATTGTCTGCTGGAAACCCGGCAAGCTGTCGGTCCCCTGGGACGAAATCAAACCGCAGGAGTCCGCCACCACAGTCCTCCATCACTTTGACTACAAAATGTGCGAGATTTGGTTCGTGCGCTTCGCCTTCAACTCGTGGCAGAAGGTTCTGGCCCTGGGCAACCAGCTTGGTACCACGTTCGTTTGGGAGCTCGACTGCAACGATCCGAACTTGACCAAGTGCAGCCAGCTGGTACATCCGAAGAGCAACTCGACCATTCGACAGACATCCTTCTCCAAGGACGGATCCATTTTGATTTGTGTCTGTGACGACAGCACTGTCTGGCGCTGGGATCGGGGAAATTAGTTCTTGTAGCATTTATTTATTTATCTATACATAACTTATTTTATTTAAAAATATACACATACATATGTATTACATATATTGTAAGAACCCAACAAACCAAACTCTCACATATCAAATGCGAGACTTATTAGGAACAGGAACAGTGGAAAAAGGAAGCCAAAAACGTAGAGATCAATCTGCAATAAACGGAAGGACCGTTTTAAACTGTAAAGGACGGGATCTACAAGAAGTGTGGGTGGACTTAAGTCAATTAAGTTTTTTTTTTCTGATACTGCATCCCGCCAGAAAACGATTAGCCCATTGTCGACCAGAGGTTATTTATTTACACACACAAATCTTATTAAACTTGAAGAATTTTAACGCAGTTCAGGTGACAGATATCGTGAATTTTTTTTTATAAGTAAAGAGCTAAGATGAATCATTATTTTCTGCTGTTTAATTCAAGTTGTTCAACTGTTTAATTATAGGGGGCCAAGTGGGTTAAGTTCGGTTTTCCATCTGTGTATTTACGAACGCGGCACAAAAAAAAAACAAAAAGGTTCATAAATAATAGACTTGTTTGTTTGTTCAAAAGGTTTTTAAAAAATAAAAACAATTTAAAGATTGTTGATTGCAAAATCGTCAGATTTTTGCATTTATTTCAATTGGTTGTAAAATGCTGACTGACAGAGTGATAGCCACCAAGGAGGCTCTGGTTGTGGCTTTGGGCGACAACTGGGAGCGCTACAGATCAAACATGAAGAATTGGTTTCGCAATCGCTGGAGTAAAGAGGAATTCGACTGTGAGTGCCGAAAGATCATGTCTCCGGACAAGTTGCATCTCCACAACCAGTTTCTGCTGGCGCTGCTCAACAAGATTGATGCCTTTGCCCCCGTGGAGACGACGCCACCTTTACAGGCCAGCAACAGCAACAGGAGCAAGCGGCGAAAGCGAAGCACGCGAACGTTTGCGGAGCGTTTGAATTTCGAAATCTTGGAGGTGCTGGATTTTGTAGCCGAGGACAATATGCAAGTGATTCGACCACCGCCCACCGTAAGTGGCGACCAGCCGATGCAGCAACACCCGCCAACCCAACGATACTGCGCCCAGGAACTTTTCCTGCCCGATGCTGGCTTCATAATGGGCCGTTTCCTGATCGGTGCCTGGGAGATTGGTCTCGTCTCTGTGGACGACAACGTGGCCGAGTATGTGGCCATGGCTGTGCAAGTGCTGCTCAAGGATCTGCTGGGAACCATCATCAAGAAGCGTAAGCACTACAAAACCAGCGGTGAAGGCAACTTTTACTACGATGTGGGCGCCCCAATTCGAGATCCCGCCCTAAGGAACACTGTGACCCGCCAGAAGGTGGACGACAGTCTACTAGAGTTTGACAAGGAGCTAAATACGGCAAACTTTATGAGAAGGCAAAACGATGATGTTATCTTTCTCTCTGCTTGCGAAGAAGTGTAAGACGAGTTCTCCCCTTTCCACTGTTGGCTCTACTTAACTTTTTCTCATTGACCATTTGCAGCATGCCCAGCGAACGGACTCTCATCACCCTCAAGGATTGCCAGCTAGCCTTTCGGGATCGCAACTTGATTGGCTCCCACTCGGTGTACTCGATCAACATGGAGCGCCTCAACATGATGATGCATTAACTTAACCAAAGTATTATAGAAACCTATTTAAAATCAGTTCTATTCATGTAGGTGTAGCACAAAGGGTGCTCATGCAGGGTATATACACAGCTTATACTATTACGAAGAAGACTTTTAACAAAATTCGCGTGGCGGTGGATTGAAGGGCACGTGGCCTGGCAGAAACTGATCCGCCTTGAAGGCTTCAATTTCAGCTGGAGTCAAGGATTCCAAGAGGCTGTACATAGAACTTCCCCCTGGCTGTGATTGCTGCTGCTGCTGCTGTTGTTGTTGTTGTTGTTGTTGATGCTGCTGCTGCTGCATCAATTGATGTTGTTGTTGCTGCTGCTGCATCATTTGTTGTTGTTGCTGTTGAAGAAGTTGCTGCTGCTGTTGGGTATTCACTTGCTGCATCATCTGTTGCGCCTGCTGCTGCTGCTGCTGATGCTGTTGAGGGAAGCCTACTGTTTGGGCCGCTTGGGCAAACAATCCACTCGGCGGCTGCTGTGGCTGTTGAGCCACCTGGCCAAAGATCCCACCACTGGGATTGACTGCAGCTTGACCAAAGACACCTCCTGGCTGCTGCTGTTGAAAACCACCAAAAGGCATTTGGTTCGGGGGCTGGGCCTGCGCCTGAGCGAATATATTGCCTCCCTGATAGGTCTGCGGTCCGGCTCCCTGCTGTTGCTGTTGTTGTTGCGGTTGTCCAAAAACACTTGTTGCTCCGGCCACGCTCCCGCCGCCGAATATGCTGTTTCCAGAGTTCGCCGATGCCATGGAGCCCCCAAAAAGGCTTTGTGTGTTATTGACTTGATTGCCAAGAGTCGGCTTGCTGAAGATGGATCCAGCGGTATTGGAAGCCGTAGCGGCAAATGGATTTTGATTGGGAGCACTGGACACGGCGGAGGCACCTTCTGGAGCGTCGTAGATCTTGATCATTACATCGACCATCTGTGGGGTCACCTGGATCATGGTCTTCATCTTGTTGGTGGCCTCCATGACCTCCCGGTTGAACTGTTGATGAAACTGATCGAAGCTGTTCAGACGCTTCGCCTCGTAGCAGAGCAGGCGGACCTCCTCGAACGACTGGTCCTCGATGAAGTTGGGAATGTTCGCCTTATCCTTGAATGGGCCGTAAACAGAGAAAGGCCACATCTTCCCATTAATGCTGGCTTCCATGTCATTCTTCAGCACCACTCTAAAATAATCAAACATGTTATTTATTTATACATATATTGTGTCTGTTTCCATACTTGATGTCAAAATGTTCGTTGCTGCACTTGGTGCCAAAGCGGCAGGAGCCCTGCTGGAAGAACCGACAAACTACCATGCTTATGCTGTGAACTTTTTTAATTAATTTATTCTCGAAAAATTTATAAACAAAAAAAATACGCAATAGGGATGGGATACTGCCATTCACATGTTAGCGTTTGATATCGAAAAAACGGCACAGCAACAAGTCAAGGCACCTACGTACCTCACCTTTCATCAACAATATACTGTAAGCAATCAGGGTATATTTATTAATGCGGTGGGTTTCACCTGCCTGTTGCCTCAAAAACGAGGATAAATTTATGATGGAAATTGAATTCGTCAGTTTATTATTTTTGTATGGTATATTTTGGTATATATCTGAGGATCCGACGGTTTTCTTGCTACCACGTCTAGCTCACACACCTTGCAAAGTTGATAATTTTCATAGTATTTTCTAGTATTTTCAGACGCGTTATGGTTTCACCCTCTTTTCCAATGTAGAAACCGTGTAGAGATACCACTTCGAGCCATGTCCCAGGCCACATCGAATACTAATTCGTGATCAGCATTGAATTCCTGATCGTTTGCCATCAAAATCTCAATTTTTTTGAAATGTCGGAAAAATGCATATCAAAAAGTAGATAACGGAGATTTTTCCCACTGGCGCTTCCATGGGGCTTATATGAAAAATAAACGGGCAAAAATACACATTTCCATTTCAGGTGTCGCCTTTGGTAATTACATGAAAATGTTGTTAATATGTTTCGAACGTGTAGTTAGCGTGTAGTAACCATGTATGGAAAATACTTTAGTTGAAATTGTTGTTGACCGGTTTTGCGCATTTGAAAGGCCTTCCTTGCCGCCCCAAGTATCTCAGAAATTGTTCGGACGCGGCCAAGCAAACACAGTGTCGAATTTTTCCTAAATTCAGAAAAGGAACCCAAACATTCGTGTGGCTATTTGCACCTAAAAAGAGTTATCAATTTGATTCGGCGCGTATGGTTTTACGCCTGCGCTTCTTGTTTTTTGCGCAGTTTGTTATTGTTTTAATTCGTATGGATCATCAAAGTGGGTGGCATTCTCGCATCAAATGACACGGACACCGGCAGGAACGGCCGCCTAAGGCTAGGAATACCGCTTCCAAAAACGCGCTTCGATAGTTTGCAAATAAAATAAACGGCAAAACGCAACAGGCAACAACGCGAACGCGTCTTTTTGGCTTGAAAAGGGCATTCGGGAAGGCAGGAAAATTCAAGCCAATAAAAGATACATACAAGAAAAAATGCAAAGAGTGCGCGAAAATTGAATGCGTGTGCGAGCGTGTTAGTGTGTGCTCGTGTGTGTCTGCAGCCATAAAACAAACAAATAAAACTAGTGTGAAAAATAATTTGTGTGTTTTGTGTTGTTTAAACAATTAGCCGCAAAAACCCTCGCGTCTCTCACTGTGTCCGTGTGTACGTGTGTGTGTATCCCTGGAATGCGGCAGTCGGCGGCGCATGCGCAAATATTTGTGATTTGTTTTTGTTTGCGCGCAGAAGCTAAAAGAGAGGGAGCGAGAGGCGGAGAGAGTGAAACGGGAAGCCAACATTGGAGTACCACATCGATATCGATGGCCGTTTGCATAAGGTTAGTTATACTCTTTAGTTATGCTTCCATTTTCCAACCATCCCACGGGATGAAGCCCACGTAGCCCCCAGAGACCCTGCCCACTCGAAATTAACCCATTCCGCCCATGCCCTCTCCCTGGCTGATCCCGAAAATTGCTCTATTCTCTGGCGATGCACAGTGACGCCCACTTTGTCAGCGCAACGCCCACACTTTCCATTATATTTATTTCTTCTTTTGTCTTGTATTTTTTTTCTTTTCCAAACCCATTTTCCCTTCCTTTTCTCCACTTATCTTTGGACACTGACAATAAAGAAAAATGCAAGTAAAGAAAAATCAATTTCCCAAAAAAAAACAAGCAGGACAAAAACAAAGGGACGGGGGAGGTTAAAGAAGATGTGGAGAGAGAGAGAGGAAGAGAGATCTGAAGAGTGGTATCAGGATCGGTAGAGTGGATTGGAGTGGAGAATGAACGACAATAACATCAATTTTGAGGCATTTATATGCGCCAATAAATTTAACAAGAGAAACAGAGACTGCGATAGAGAGAGACGGGGAACGGGAATGGGCTGATTGTAGGAGGAGGAAGAAGGGGAAGGGGAGAGAGAGGATCAGGGAGAAGCATGGGGAGAAAAACCAACAAATAACAAGCAGAAAGATACACGACAACGTGCAACAATAAGACACAAGATCAAACAAAACCAGCAGCCTCTGCCGACGATGCAGCAACAGCAACAGGTAAAAGCAGCGACCGAGGCGCAGGCGCAGCATTGCAAGGTGTGCTAATAAAGAGGTGAGGCATTCCCAGGAAAGTGCCATCACAACAACAGCAAAATTTTTATCAGTTACAGTTTAATTTGATCGACGTACTTAGTTCAAGAGAAATGCTAATTAAGAAATAAGACAACTCGGGAGGGAAGAAATTCCTTACCTGTTCAAATAATACACCTTGGCAGCATTTCGAAATGTGCAGCAAATCAATACATATATGTGTGTGTGTGAGTGAAAGAGGCTGCATGCTGGAGGCTGCGCTGGCATGCGGGGGGCAGCAACAACCTGTTACATCGGCGCTGGCCCTCTCCGCACCGCTGCCTGAAATATGTAAAGTCAATTTCGTGTATCGGAAAACTGTAACTAATGCCAAAGCGTCAGCGCAGCAAACAACCAGCAGCACCCATGGGGCAGGGACAGGGGCACAGTTAGAGGCAGCCGCAGCAGCCTTAACCCATTAACGTAGATTGGGGAAATTAAAGCGAAATAAAGAGGAGTACTTATCAGAAGAATTGGGAATAAAGAACATTTTTAAGGTTCTACCTCTCTACATTTGAGCCCAAATGGATTAATAGATTCTCTGCCTTTTTATCCCATTTACACACATGGAATGGATACATAAGCAGCTGTAAAGATCAGGAAAATTCTGGACTTTATAATAGGGTAAAACAAAGTTTTTTAAATCAAATTATACAAATTTCCCACTGGCTGGGGTTAGTTAGTTACCCTGGAGTTTCCGTGTCTAAATAAAAAATGTAAAAAATATACATATGTATGTATGTACAAATTTGCCTACGCAGGGCATCAATGGGTTAACAGGGGCCACTTCTCGGACCAAGTTCGTTGCACGCGGCGGAAAATAAAAGACAACAAAGTAAAAAAGTTTTTGTCAATGAAAGAAGAAAACTTTCTTTTGGGCTTATCCACGCAAACATCGCCGACGGCTTTTGGCTCGGTCTGGGGGCCTCTCTTTCGCTCTCTCTGGCTCTCTCTTTCGCATACCAGTATACCCTTTGCAGAGGGTATTCTAATGTTACTGCCCAAAATATATCAGAAAAGTATCTGGGTAAATAAATCATAAACCATCTCCAATTATGAAATGATGTCTTCGTCCGTAAGGTTATAAAACCGAATATACCGAATTTGCGATAGGAACGAGTAGGGGAAATAATGTTGTTAATATTATTTTATATTACCTTCAACATAATTGAGTTAGAGAACTATTGTATTATGTAAGCTGTTCAATTACCTAACGTCTCTAGTTCCGACGAACCAAAATCGAACCTAATGAATTGTGTCTTAGAATCCTTTTATATATAATATTCCTATGGGGGCGTTCATTTCTTAAATTCCAACTCAAAAAATCGTATAGTCTATACAATTCTGATACTAGTCTGCAAGTGCATCCAACATTCTAGCATTCTGTGCTTTAATGGGGCGGCGTTTTGGCTTTACGCGCCTGCTGTTTGCTGTTGCTGCTGCAGTATAAGGTCTCGGCCCTGTTCGGCCCCAGCTCCTTGGGGCTCTTCATGGTCCATTAAGACGATTTAGGTTGGCTTCTCTTTTTTGGGGCCGCCCGCTGCCGCTCCCAGTTGGAGGGCGTCACAGCTGCGTGGGAAGATTCCGTTGCTGGTTCGAGCTGTTGTCTCTGTTTGTCATTTCTGGCCTCCAGGTCTGATTGCCAGCCAGCCAGCCAATCTCTGGAGTGTAGTGTCCACGTTGCTGCAACAAGTGTCCCAGTTTATGGCTTCGGATGGCTAGAAGCCACAAAGAGCTACTACCACTAGCTGCTGGCTGCTAGAACTAGTTTAAGTTTCCTGTCGGAGCGGCTCACATAGTCACATAGTCACATACTTACATAGTTGCGCACGCTTTTTCCTTTAGGCCCGTTGCTGCCGTTTGTTGCGGTTGCCGCACCTTGGCCCCCACCACACCACAGCACACCACACCACACACCCCACTGACTGACTCTGACTCCCCCTCCCGATCAGCCGCCTGTTATTAACCGTTTGGCCACATTTTCTCACACAGAGAGCGCAGAAATGCTTCGCAGGCCACTCTCTGCCAATTGGCGCGCCTCTGGAAATGACAAACGGCCATGGGCATGGAGCAGTAGAAGAGGAGGCAGGCGGAAGAGGCAGGAGGTAGAGGAGAGTTAGTGTGGCAGGGAGATGCGACAGAGGAGAGGGGAAAAAAGCAGCGGGAGTCGACTCCAAATGGGAGCTGCACTAAATTACTGAAATCAAAAAATATTTCAAGTATTCCAGTCTGGAAAATTGATTTGGAATAACTGTATATTGAGATGGAACGAGTATTTCTTGGATGGGTGTAATCGAAACGGGACTAGCTGCACCGATCTAGCTCATCCAGTTATCGTTACAATCAAATTAACTACGATAGTTCGGCATTCTATGATTAGAAGAATGTTAAGATCAAGATCATAAATGCAAAGCTGAAATTTGTCTTTTTTTCAATCCAAGGTTATAGAAACTTTCAGTAGCAGTCTGACTACTGACTGTAACTCATGGATATCCTTAATATAACAGAGTTCTTAAGAATCAAATTGAGATCAAGTGATTCCATCTTCTATTAGACAATCCCCTTGATTCGATGGTACAAGTTCGACAGATCATGCTCAAATCAAAGATCAAAACGATTGCATCTTCCATTAGATCATAAGTATATGAATTAAGCTGAAGCATTTTTCGTTCAACTTTCAGCCTGGAACAAGTTTATCAAAAGAGCAGAGCGCAGTGTGCTATGCTGTGCTGTGCTGTGCTCCACATCAAGTTCATTAGCCAAAAAGCCTAGCCAACCTTCCATTTGGTCTGCTGCCTCCTCCCATAACGGGCTGCCAACCGTTCTCCTTGCGGCCCAAAGAGTCTCACGTAACTGTAACTGATTTGACCTCCCATCACTTAGCTTAGCTACCAAAAAAGAACCTCCTCCATCCAAAGATTTCGCTGCCGTTCTTCCATTGTGAATGTTGTGGTTGTTGTGCGGTCGAAGGGAGGGGACGGACTGTTTGTTGTGACGGTTTTGATGCTTGGCTGGAAAAGCGGTGTGACCTCGACAACAAATTTCTATTGCATGCAATTTGGAATATCGCATGCGCAAATGAACATTAACACTTTTGGCCATGCGCAGAAGAAACAAAACACTGAAAACTTGTTTCTACAATACAAAAGTAATGACAAAAAGAAAAACAATCGTCATAAAGGAATAGAGATGGAGAATAGTGTATGAAACCGACTCGAAGATACTCTAACAAAGTCAAGGATTCAATTCAATATTGCTCTGCGTCATGTACACGACATGTATGTTGTTTCTGCCAGGCATTCTCTTTTGCAATATCATAACTCTCTAATGTTCAATTTTTAGGTGATTGGATTTTCTGATGAACACTCATTGAAGACTTCTGATGGCATCACCATCACTCCAATGCTTTGACTGTCTTTTGCTTGGTTAGGGTATAAAGCCATCAAAAACGGCAGCCAGGCCAGGGACCAACAAGAGAGAAAAAGTACGCTTAGAAATTAGAAAGTACGCGCGAGCGGTCTTGGGGAGAGGCTGGGGGGCCTAAAAACGTGGCAAGGCAAGGCGAGGCGCGGCGGTGGGTATATGTATGTGTGTGAGTATAACTCGATTTGTGACTGTCATAAATGGCGGAAATTGTGGGGCTCGAGACAAGGCGGCAGGCGGCAGGCGGCAGGCGGTGGTAGCGGCAGTGGCAGTGGCAGGCTGTTGGTGGCAGTCGGCCTCAACCGACTTGGGGCACTGTCTCTCCGGCTAGCTTTCTACAGCCTGCCGCCGGTCTTCAGCTTTAGAGCCTCGTCTTCTGGTTCGTTTTTTCCTCTTTCTTGACTATAATTTGTGCCATCAGCATTTTGTTGTCGTTATCGTTAGCAAAGCGAGCGAGTGACAGACAGACAGAGAGAGAGAGAGAGGGAGAGAGCAATGAAGCGTAAGTTTTGACATTTCACCAACTCTCTTTTCGCCTCTCTCTTTTAACATGCTCTCCATAATTAGCCAAGCAGAGAACGCGCTTAGTGCCATCATTTTGACAGATTTTTATTAATTCTTTCCCTTTTTTTCTTCGTACCGTATACTCTTTATGACTTACTCAAGGCTAGAACGCTTTTAGCCGAAGCTTAAATGCCCTTCTACGCACTCCCATCGCCCCTAGATGCACAAGAGGGAATCCCTGACAGAGCATGCAAGTAGATTTCCAAGGAAGAGACTGGGTATCG